ATCTATCTATCTATCTATCTATCTATCTATCTATCTATCTATCTATCCATCTATCCATCTATCCATCCATCCATCCATCCATCCATCCATCTATCTGTAAAAACAACTTCGGTCTACTAAATCTATTCATTTAATTTCATTCAAGTGCTTCATTGATTCTTTCCATCCTAATGCCAAAGTGTGTTCTTTGGCTTCTAGTGACTCTAGTAACAACTTTATTGTTTAACTAGTTCTCCAATTAGAGGCGTGATCAATTTAGCAGATTAGAAAAACTATTTCATCACAACACTTTATTTTTAATACAAACTGTACTATGAAATCTTACGACAAGCTTTAAAAATTTGGAGATGTTAAGGTAGAAGTAAAAAACAACAACAACAAAACACTTACATTTTGTTACTTGAAATACATTTTCCTATGAAGACTGAAAAAAAAATGACACTGTGAACACTAAACTTATTTTATTTAAAAAATGGGTTACATGATATAGCTAGAAAATAATATTTAATTGAAACTTTACACTTTATTCTACCTTTTGGCAGTGTGAATTACTTGTCTCACGGACATAATATTTGTTAATAGCATTTATTTCATGCACCTTAAAATAAAAGGGGGGGTGGAAGAAAAATAAATGACCATAATTCTTTTGATGACCAGAATTGACGCTAGGGGGCGCTCCTCTTGTTTACTTTAATTACAAAAAAAAAAGAAGCGGACAAAGAGAAACTCATAGCTCAAGATGGTATCAGTCCACTAGTTCGTTCAAATTTATAAACTATGTGAAAAAATAAATCAAGCAAACAATATATTTATACAAAAAAAAAAAAACACTTAAATATATGTTATAAACCTATGCCTGATTTTCTGCACCGGAAAAAAAAATCGTCTAAAAAGAAAAGCGGAAGTTATAATGGGTGACTCCTCTTGTTTCATGACGTCACATCCTGTTGTAGCCCCCGGTGGTTTCCTGGCTCAGTAAGCCCGACAGCCGCCGTCTTTCAGGACCGTTTGAAGGGTTGGAGTCATGGCAGCTGCCCCGGGGACCAGCAAGGCGGCCCACGGCGAAGTGGGACCGAAGAAGAAGAAGGGGCCCGGCGCCCTGGCCACGGCCTACCTGGTCATTTACAATGTTGTCATGACAGCAGGGTATGTAGCGTGTTTGTCCTCGTGCTAACGCTGTGGAGCGAGTTTTTAATGTGACTTATTATAACTGCAGCCATGGAAACTGTGCTTAATATTCTAAAAACAGTGATGGTGGGATGCTGGTCGGTGAATTTATTGTTTTCTCCTCGCCTTCATGGCTTGCACAGATTAACAACAGACCCCAGCTGGCGTGCACGTTAATGAAAAGGTCCAGACTGCGGAAATAAAATTCATCTTGTGGCAAATAAAACTGTCTGCTCGCGTCTCGTTAGGATATTTTGCATTTCAACAAAACAATGACGTTTTATTGTGTTTTTTGTTATTATGGATATTATTAACAAGTGGGCTTATTTTGAGCCAAAAATGGTGATTTTATTTTTCTTATGCAGTGAACTAATTTGTTTATGCATCATTAATATGTCCATTAAACGTTACTTGGGCTTTTTTGTTTATGCTATATTTAGTTTAATATTAAACAAGTAGTTATAGTTTAAGATTTTGATTCTATGATTAAAAATGAAGCGCGTGCCAACTTTGACTCCAATAATTAAAAATTGATCTGATTTAGAATAATTGCAGAAACGAACCAATCAGAGTTCAGCATGTTGGATTAAAGGACTGCCACCCCAAATTTAGTTCAAACAAGAAAGATGTGGGTTTCATGTTACTTTTTTTTATCAGAGATTTAAATATAAGAGTAAGGAGCAATGATGGTGGCTTCTGATTTTTGCAGACTCTTCAGTTTGATTTAGCAAAAAATAACAACACCTCAAACCAAAACTCTGCTGAAGACGATTAAATGTACTTAACGTTAGTTTTTCCAGTCGTTGCATATCATCTATTTCACAACATCACATGCTCTGAACTCTGAACTCTTCCCGTGCGACTTTTATGAGTCTGATTTCCAAACGGTTGCACAACGGAGTGCGAGGCGTAATTATTTCACTGTTCAACCAGTTGGGTCACATTTACCCGCTCTGCCTGGTGCACACTGCGTGCATTGTTCATGTGAGACGAGCGTGCAGCCATTTTCCAGTTTGCCCACCACTGAGAAGGCGTCCTCAGTGTGCGCCCCACTGGTCCTGAAATCAATCATTTCTGCACAGTAGTCCACAACTGATGCCAAGATGTAAAACTTATTAAACCACGATGTGGAGAATATTACTTTAAATCATGTCTCACCGTTAATGAGACATCTCCCCACAAAAGATCTTCCTTGCGATCAATTAATATTGACACCCACACGAACAAATCAATTCTTTACCAGCGTTGCTCGGAAATTTAGAAAAATTTAATATGTGGCTTAAAAAACACTCACTAAAACAAAACTTAGCTTTGTAAACATTAAAACACGTTTATCTTTTTGTTTGCCATAAGTCGTCTTAAACAACAAAAATGTTAATGATCTCTTTTTACGTGCGGAAATGTTTGAATATTTTTAAATAAATCATGTGGATTTCAATGTTTTAGTTCGCGCTCTAAAACGACTTTTATATCCACAGAGCTCGAAACGAACTAAAACCTGTAAATTGTTGCTCGTCGCTGGAAGTCGCACACGTCTTTTGCTCGTCTGTGCTTGTGTTTGTTCGTCTGTTAGTAAAATATTTCACGAACCACTGGGTGAATTTCATTGAAACTCTCCCAAAAGTAATTACCGGTGTTGAATCTGCAGCGGATTAACTTCATGAGTGATCCTGATTCAAGATGTCTGCCACAGTCGGCTGACTGTAGGAGGCTCAAAATGAATAACTCGATACGTTTTACACGCATTAATCTAAAATCGTTGTTAAAAGTAGCAGAAAGTCATTCTCAGCACTTCCTCTGAGCGTGCGGTTTTACAGCGTTGTACTTTATTTTTGACCAAACTGAACTTCTTTCCTTGGACGCGGCGTGAAAGTGAATTGTCGTTTACCGGCGGCTCGTGTGTGAAACCTTCAGAGTTGTGGTTTTCCAGGTGGCTGGTGATCGCTGTGGGTCTGGTTCGGGCCTACCTGGCCAGAGGGAGCTACCATGGTCTGTACTACTCCATCGAGAAACCCCTGAAGTTCTTTCAGACCGGAGCGGTTCTGGAGGTGAGGTCCAGGCAGTCCCGATGAATTTTAATATAAAACTCATCTAACACACAATATTTAAAGAATACATTCAAATACTGGGGATTCAGTAGTTTGTTTCATTGTTGCTAGTTTTAGAGCAAAAATCAAAAAAATGAAAGGGGCGTCAAGTCTTTTTATTTATTTATTTGTTATCTCTTAAATGTTTGGTATGTCCTGAGTAAAACGTCAGCGTGAAAACTTATCACGTCTCTCGGTTGAAGGCACGGAGCCAAAAACCACGGAGACATTTTGTTTTCATGACTTCCTGTCAGATATGTGACGATGTGTCGGTGTAGCAGAACACTACAGATTAATTACATTTTCTGTTTCATGTCCTGATTGTTTAAATGGAAACTACAGATTAGAGTGAAGCAGCAGGAGGCGTTTGTGTCCGGACACAGTGTGGTCCAAGAATTTACTGTCGTCTTTTTTTTATGTTTCTCAAATAAAATAATAAAAATAAAAAATTTTAAAAAATCCAATAAGTTGGTGCTTTAAACTGTCAGTTGTGAAATTTGGTGCAATTGTTCACAAAAACCCCCAACAATTATTAAAGTTATGTGATTATATTGATTATAGAGTTGTTATTATATGTTTTCTGGTTAAAGTAAGACATCAACTGTAAAATGTTGTGAACTTTTGCAAACGTTGCGCTCCACGCTGAGACGGTTCTGTTCTCTCTCGTCTTTCTCCAGATCCTGCACTGCGCTGTAGGTGAGTGTCTCTGCACGTGAACACGGAAGGATCATCCCAGTGAAGCAGTCGGATGCTTTGGTTTTGTGTGCACTTATTAGATTTTACTTTTAATAAACTTCTGACGGAAGGAGTGTGTAGAAACAGGAAGACTTGCTCTTTAATGTTTTTTTAATCCAGACACTCTTTAAAATGCCAAGTTCAAGTTGGACGTCTCTTTGATTTCAAAAATATATACAGTCACTTTAACTTCCACATAGGCAAATGGAGGACACTATATGTATATTTTCCAACGTTAAAAGGCCCCTCACTCAAAGAGCTCAGGTTTTTGTTCCAAATATGACCTTTTGCTGCTCCTTTCACATTTTGTTCTGGTTCAGCTTCTTTTTTTTAATTTGCTGCTTCTTTCTTTCTGCTCCTTTCAGCTTATTTTTGCAAGTTTCAGCTTTTTCTGCTATTTCAGCTACTATTTAGCTGTTTTATGCTCATTTAAGCTTTTTGGCTAGATCCACTTTTTTGCACTCATTTAAACTTTTTTCAGCCTAATTCAGCAAAAATGCGCTCTCTCCACTTCCTTCTGGTAACTTAAGCTTCTTTCTGCCTTTTTAGCTACTTTTCAGAAGTATTTTGTGTGTGTGTTAATTTCCACTTTTTTCTGCTTCTTTCAGCCTAATTGGACAAACATGTTCTTTCTGATTTCTACCTTTTCAGTTACATTTCAACTTTTTTTTTTTTTTTTAAAGTTAATTTCATCCGTTTTTCAGCAAGTTTTTCTGCAGTAAGAATTCACACTGCACTTTTGCAGGAAATGCAATTTCTGTAGTTTGAAATGTTTAATTTTTAACACGTTGGGTCACCTGGATCTTCTGTTCCTGCAGCGTGACCATCGATAAGCTTCAGAGGATGTATGTATGTATGTATGTATGTATGTATGTATGTATGTATGGATGTATGTATGGATGTATGGATGTATGTATGTATGTATGGTATGTTATGTATGTATGGATGTATGTATGGATGTATGTATGTATGTATGTCATTTCCTCGTACCGACTCTGTTGGGTCAACTTTGACTGTATATAAATTAGGTGCAAAATAGACTAATCGACTAGTCGACTAATCGTTTCTTGTGTAATCTCACAAGTTTTTATATTTCATGTCGACTAGTCAAACCCCCCCCACTGTTCCCAACCCTATTCCACCCAATCCACGTGGGAGATTAAATAAAATAAAACTTTTTTTTTTTTGCAAATATGATATAACGTCTTGAGTTCCTATGACGTCATCAACTAGTCGACTCGACTTTTATCACGTTAAAGTCGACTTTTAAAGATATGTAGTCGTTTAACCCCTAATATAAATAAAATAATGCAGCAAACAATGTTTTCAGGCTTTGTGCCAAGTTTTTGATCAGAAGTCAAATTAAACTTTTTATTTAATTTTAAAAAGTTTGATGATTTCAGTTTAAATATGAGGGGGTCACTCTGTTTTTTTTTTTTTAAGACTGATCTTTAGTAAACAGCAAAACAGCTGTGGATTCTGGGAAATGAAGTATTTGTTGTGTGTGCAGCTCACTCCTTCCACATCGAACCAGCTTCTGTTTTGTCTCCTAACTCAGGAATCGTACCGTCCTCTGTGGTTCTGACCGGGTTTCAGGTCATGTCCCGGGTCTTCCTCACTTGGGCCGTCACTCACAGCGTCAGAGAGGTACGATGAGGTTTTCAAACACTCCAGCTGTTCAACACCTGCACCGTTTTATTGGCATCTTAAGCAGCTCACCCTGCTGTTGTGTTAAAGTGACCCGTTGATGTTTGCCCTGTTTTTAGACCCGAGGGGACTAAAAGTGTAAGTAAACCCAGAGTCTTGCTGAAAGGTTGCAGGAATGAATCCGTTAGGTCTTAATATTTTCAATAATATGAAGGATGTTCTTCTCTGGTCTTTCATTTCCTTTGTGTGTCCGTTGTATGATGCGGTACTGACATGTTTTCCTCAAGTCCTCTTTTCCTCATGTGAATGTGAGCCGAAGCATCGTGTGGTTTTCCTGTTAACATCTGCGCCGTTTTCAACCTAATGTCTGAGGATGCAGAGTGATCTGAGCGTCTAAAACAAGCGGCATGTTCCTCTGATGAAAACTGGATTATCCTCCAGCAGAACTCGGCGTGACGCCAGGCCGTCTGCCTCCCATCATGCTTTGTGTGTGTGTTGGTGCAGGTACAGAGCGAGGACAGCGTGCTGCTCTTCGTCACAGCCTGGACGGTCACCGAGATCATCCGCTACTCCTTCTACACCTTCAGTCTTCTCAATCACCTGCCGTACCTCATCAAATGGGCCAGGTAGGAAAATCAGACGGAGGAGGTTGATTCTCTACGGCTGAATAACTTTTTAAAAAACGTTTCAGAGGTCTCGGTCACCAATTCACACACATTGCTTTTTAATACCCACTCCACCACACAAGGTCGACTAATCACTAAACAGCGGTGTAGTAAACGAGGGTATACGAGAAAAGCTTAAGAATCACAGTGTAACCACTCGAAAGTGCCCAGTGATGTGACATCATGGGGCTCGTGTCATTGTCAACACATTGGGAACATTTTATAGACACATCGAGTTGGTTCAACCTGCTTTTTGCATAATTAATACTTACTACTTAATACTTGAACGTGTTTTGCTTTGACACTGTTTTACAAATCCTATGACATGGTTTTAATACAAAACTGTTTGTTGTCTATTCAAATATAAGCATCAGAGAAATTTAGAAATAATCAATTGTGCTTCAAAATCTAAATAAATTGAATCTCACATTGTACTGACTGGTGTACTTCGGTTTCCAAGCACAGTATACCCAGTACAAAAATGTAGACTACACCACTGTCGCTAAACCACTTGTCAAACTCGAGGCCTGAGGGCCAAATACGGCCCTTACTAATAGCGATGCACGATACTGGATTTTTGGTCGATACCGATATATTTTATATACTTACTACTACGGCTGACTTTCGGCATACCTCCACCTCTCCAAATTCTCTTCCACCTGTTCCCTGTTCTCACCACAGATCACAACGTCATCTGCAAACATAGTCCACAGAGATTCCTGCCTGAGCTCATCTGTTAGTCGCTCCATCACCAGAATAAACAAGAAGGGGCTCAGAGCTGATCCTTGATGCACTCCACCTCCACCTTGAAGCTGTCTGTCCCTCCGTGTAACTAAATAGTCAAAAAGCTCATCTGAGTAGCTGTGGAAAAACTGCAGCGCGTTGTTGATGCTTTTTGCTCAGAGTTGGACAAAGTTGATGAATTGTGACAACAATCCTTGAAATAAAGATGTCTGGGTGAAAACAGCTCACTTGATTTTCCATATTATGTCTGTGAGTTTGTAAAGTCTGCCTCGTTTTAGATGCTCTCTGTTTAAACTTTGTTTTAACCGTTAGCTGCTGAACTCTTGTCTTTTATCACGAGCGTTTCTCTCAGCACAACGGAGACACGGCTGCCAGAACAAACCAGCCTTTAAGCTTCCTCTTGTCACAGTCAAAGCTGGACGTGTCCCTCAACGTTGTAGGCTTATACGACGAAGCTGGCGTCACACAGCCATAGCAGCAGGTTCGTTTTGTGAGGACCTTATCTTATGACACCGCGTTGAATTGCAATGAATATTCAGAAGACATCTTGAAGAATATTAGTGAATTCAAATTGAATTTAAAACCAGCTGAATGTGCAGTTTGAGAAGACGAAAAGCGTTTCTGGTCCTCATTTCTTAATGAAACAAGTTTTTAATTGCCTAAATAAGATAATTCACCGTGGTTTTGATTTTATTCGTCAGATTCGGGACTCGTCTTTTTGGATACGGTCGTGATGATTAGAGTTTTAAAGAACGTTGCGTGAAACGGTCGCGCATCACAGAGCAGTCTTTACCAGAACAGTACATTCAAAACAGATTATTTACGTAACCCATACAAATCCTGTTTCCACGATCAAACCAACACGTCTGTCTGGTAAACAGGATTTTTCTGCTCCTACAACCGAGGCAACAGTTGAGTCTTCCTCTCTGCGGTCTTTGTTGCTAGGTAGCAAACGAGGCCGCTGCTATATTGGTATTCAACTTTCAGCCTGAATTGCACCCAGAGAGATGGGGATGGCTTGTACATCTGTGGAAGATTAATAGAGAACACTCGAGAGGTTTGGGGCTGTAGAGTTTTTATTTTCTCATCTTGAAGTTTCCTCTCTGTAGATTAAAGGGAGCTGAGCGTGCGTCTCGTATTTAATTTCACACTTGGGCTTTTTTTGTCCCCAGTCGGGGAGCAAATGGGGGGAATAGGAAATATCCTTCATCTGTCTGTTCGTCTATCCACGTGAGCATAACTTGAAAAATAAATGAGGTGTTGACTTTCATTTTAGTGTGTGGCTGCATTTAGGCATAAGAAAGGTGGATACATGAACATATTAATCTTGTTAACTTGGAAAAACAATTCGCAACATGCTGACTGACACTTGGTGTATGTAAACACGTCACCCCGATCATCTCAGGAAACTACGCTCTCTAGTTTTTATGTTGCCTGAAATTATATCCTCAAATAATCGGGTCAAAAATAAGCAACGGTGCCGACTTCCATTTTGGTGTGTGTCTGCATCTAGGCATAAGAAAGGTCGAGGGAAACTAGTGTGTGTGTGTGTGTGCACGCACCAGGGGTGGAAGTACGAATTACAAATACTCACATTACTGTAATTAAGTAGATTTTTTTTGGGGTACTTATACTTTTATGCGTATTTCTTTCAAGTGTGTAATTTTACTCGTACTTAAGTACAATTTAGACCATGTCATCTACTTTGCTACTTTTAAAACCAGAAGTCGCTACGGAGTACGGCCGCAATTTGAATTAATATTCAAACCGTTCATCTGCATCTTTGCAGCCAATAAGTGTCTCAGATCGTGCACGCACCAATTACCCGTGATGCAAGCGAAGGACAACTCTGTGGAGAGCCGTTTAGAGATGCTCCTCACAGCCGAACGAAGCCGGATAGACTCGGTTAGAACCAGCTCCTGCTGACGCCGAACAAAAGGTTCAGAAGGTGAAGGGTGACAGACATGTCACTTACCTGCCTGTTGTTCGCAGTGTGTCTGGAAAAGTTCAAACTGTTCTACGCCTTCTTACAAAATGTCTTTTAACAAACAAAATTCCTGCTTTATCCACATTTGTTTACAAAAGAAATGGCCTTAGTGTAGTTTTTCTATACTTTATTGTTCGTCTGAGAAATGTGCTTTGAATGTAGCTATTACATGCAGTAAATTTAACTGAATGTCTTCTATTAACACAATAAAACATCGATTGGTTAAAAAAAATTAATACTCTGAGTAGTTTTTGAGAAGAGTACTTTGTACTTTTACTTAAGTATGTTTATAACACCAGTACTTTTAATTGCAATTGAGTACACTTTAAGCAGTGTAATTGTACTTGTACTTGAGTACAAATTTTCAGTACTCTTTCCACCTCTGGCGCACACGTGTGTTGCCCACCCTATAATTTAAGGAAACCTTGCAATCTAATTTTTATATAAAGTTTAGTTTTCTCAAACTAACTGGGGTGGCCATAGATTAATTTACGGTGGCCTTGGTCACCATTAGCCACCCCCTGGCTCCGCCCTTGCTCCTGGTGGCTCCACCCACTTGCCAGGATCCCTCACTCTGTTCTGCCCAACTCTGTTTGCATGCGCAGTGCAACTCCTCCTCACTTGGATATCTTGCACCAAAAGAATTAAAGTTTACTTGTACGTGAAAAATACTCGTCTTGAAAATTTCAAACGATTCAAATCCTTCAGCGACAGGAGACGTCAGCGTACCGCTTGTTCGTCTTCAAGTGGTCCTTAAATAAAATAATTCCTCAATATTTATTGATCTAAACTAATCTAGAAGCATGCAGTGGCAGTAGAGTCCTTTGTGTTTTAGAAATGGTCAACTAGCACATAAGTGTTGGGGACATTTAGTAAATTTTTCTTCCGTTCTCTGGTATCGGCTCCATGAAAACGGCCTTTTCAATATATATTTACTTCCGTTTCATATTTTCTTGATTCACTTCCTGGTGGCACTCCATCAAAGCCTGAGCGCATCGTTTTAATGAGATAAAATCACATCTAGTGTCGCTGCCCTTGGCAAAATGTCATCTACTACAAGCTGTTAATTTCGAGGCCATCAGTGTTGTTTTTATTTGAAGTCGTCGTTTCCATCACCTTATCATACGTGTCCCTCAGTGTTTGGATGCTAATAAAAGTAATGCGACCCACCCCTCTTCTCTGGATATTTGAATCAGTCAGTAATGATGTGAAAAGGTTTCATGTCTCCCTGGTTGTCTCCGTGCTGCAGGTACACCTTTTTCATCGTGCTGTATCCGATGGGCGTGACCGGAGAACTGCTGACCATCTATGCAGCTCTGCCGTACGTGCAGAAAACGGGCCTGTACTCCGTTACCCTCCCCAACAAGTACAACTTCTCCTTCGACTACTACACCTTCCTCATCCTCGTCATGGTCTCCTACATCCCCTGTGAGTAAAGGAGTGCGCTCGCTTGTCATTTTAGGGGTGACTTGGAACAGTAAAGTAAGTGGGAACAACCCACTGTGGAGCTTTTGTGTAGCTGTGTGGGGTTTTTGTTTTTACCCACAATCCTAAGAGGCTGTCGCACAGTGACGTACAGCATCAGCGTATGTCATCGTATAAATAAATAGCTAATGCTACCCAGTACAGTATATACAAAACGGTAAATGTTTTTGTCTGAACAGTGCCGATCACACGGCACAGCATCCTTACAGGAAGTCATTGATCGCTGTCTTCATATTCCTTCCTGCACAAGCCGTCCTCCTGCTCTACGGAGCAAATGTTGTTCTGTGAGCACGTGAGTCCCCCCCCATGCTCTGCATATGATGGGGAGGGGGTTCTCTCCTCCCATCCCCATTTCATTGCTTCGACTGTTATCTTTGTTTATACAGGTAGTCTCATTGAGTCATGAGGACCCACCCCACCAAAGACAGATGTGTATTGGGCAGCTCTGTGAGAGCCCAGATGTGAGAAAGCTAAATGTTTTGGTGGCAGGAAGCTCGTTAGCCTGTCACAAAACAACAGCAACAAATCTATAAATTATCTGCAGCGCTGTACAAGCCGCAGGGTTCAAAGTGTGGAAAAGTAGCAGCTTAGACCAGAAAATATGGTACTTGTTTTTTTAGTTGTCCTATTTAAATCTTCAGTATTTCTTGAATGGTTTGATCCTTCACACATCTGTCCTTGATCCTTTCACAACCCTCCATTATCTTATATCATCTTTTTATTAGGGGTGGGGCCGATCCAGTATCGGTATCGGGCTCCGATACCAGCATAATTTATGTATCGGATTTTTCCGATCCAACCTTCAGAGATTTCTGATCCACGATGCACGTTGGCTTCAAACTACGGAATGGATTTCCTGAACGGCGGCGTGTCTCATGAACCCAGGGTAATAAGACCCGCCTCACATTCAGGAAATCCAGTTCATAGTTTGCAGCCAGCTACAACCTGAGGACTGAGTTAGCAGCACTGTGGCTAACGGCTAACAAACTTTTCATCTAAACATGTCGCTGTGTGGAAGTATTTTACACTAAACACCACAAAGCAAGACAGCAACGTGCACTGTCTGCAGAGCCATAGCGCCACATTAAACCACGTTAAAGTTAGTTTTACGTTGGACATTCGAGCTCCGGGGCTTCAGCGGTGTGTTGTTTTCGTTCAGTCCGGAGAAGGCAGTCTGATTTCGGTCAGCCTGCCCGCCTCGGAGGAGGGAAACAAGAAGAAGACACCGCTGAAGCCCCGGAGCTCGAATGTTTACCATGAAGTTGCTAAACTTCATTGTAATTAATGACCAACCGCTATCAGTTGTAGAAAACGAAGGATTTCACAGCTTGATACTTGCAGCCAAGATCTAGTTTACCCTGCAGGAGATATTTATCAGTACAACAGTAGACGATCATAAAAAAACATATGAATTGAAAAACAGGAACGTGTCTGTGTTGGTTTATGCCATGAACTTAGCAGATGCTTGAAGCCATCTAATCGCTTTAATATCCACTTTAAAGCTGGGAATAATAAAAACAAACATGTTTTGTGTTAGCAGGATTTAGTTCCAACTTTGAAACTTATCCAACATTCATAAAACTTACCTCATGTTGCTGTTCTGGACATGCATATATTTGTACAAATTGTACTTGAGAGGAGATTATCACAGCCTCATATAAAAGCAATAATGATGAAGATATCGGGACGGGATCGGTATCAGCCGATATCCAGATTTAGGTACCGGGATCAGAAGTTAAAAAATTTGGATCGGTGCATCCCTACTTTTTATCTTGTTTTTTTAAATGAAGTTACAGGATTTTACCTGTTTTAACACATTCCTGCTGTGCCGTCGTTTGTATTGTGACTATAAGTTCAGATATTCTTCATGTTTTTTGTTTGTGTTGTTTTGTTCATAAAGGCACTACAGCACATGTGGATAACATGAACACAAACGAGCGTGCTCACTCCTCACATCAAATTTCTAATCAATAGTAATTTCAGGAAATTATCAAAGTAAACGGCGCCTTTCAGCGTAATAATGTATTTTTTTATATTTCCACCCACAGCAGAGAATATTTGAGTGTATGTGACATACTTCTCCTCAGTGATGGAGGTCTGCAAAGTCACTTCAGTTTGTGAAGCGAAGCGTTTTACGTGACACTGATTGAAGTCTGTGCTCGTCTTCCTCAGTGTTCCCTCAGCTTTACTTCCACATGATCCGACAGAGGAAGAAGGTGCTGGGCCACACGGAGGACTACAGCAAGATGGAGTGAGCTCAGCAGAGTTCAGAACAGTTCACGAGGGAGGAAAGAAACCAAAACGTCCCGCAAAATGAAGAGCAGATCGATTTTTCACGTTTCAAACGGACCTCTGTTGTTGTTTACAGCTGCCGCATCGTTCAGGAACCCAGGACACGCCGGTGTCGTTACGTTTTAATTTATGATCAAATTGTGATAACGCGTTAAATCTGGGAGTTTGCAGCTTTAAAAAAAAAAGTATTTTGATTTGAACGCAGCCGCGCTGCTCCGAGTATTGACCAAAGCTCGTTCGAGCTGAAGGGAGCGCCAAGAGAGCGTTTATTAGTAATAGAATAAATTCATCACCGCCCCTTATTTTAACATTATTTTAAGAAGCGGGTCTGCTTTGGGCTAATGTAAGAGAATAATGTGAAGTCTAGCACTGACAGGAATGGTTCGTTGGATTTTGATTTGTTTTTTTGTGTATTTTATTGCATCGTCTGATCATTCCTCATTTAGCTCAATAAACCGTTGTCTCGTGCTCGCATGCTTCTTTTTCTGTTTAGCCGACCTGCTTCAGCGTTGGTTTGATTTTTGTCGTTCACAGCGACGGTCGCTTGATATTTCTTATTCGTTCCGATTTATATGTACATCGAGACAAGTCGCGTCCAACCCCGTGAACTCTTATTTTTAACATTACAGCATACCGAGTTAAAACATTCCTTTATAAGTTTTATCACGTGGCTTTAACTATTGAAGAAATGGGACAGCTGAGCATAAAGTGAACAGAGTGTGAACCTGTAGCAAGTGTTTTCAAAGGAAATGAGCTCTGATATGTAAAAATCAAACAAATAAAGATGCATTGTAGCCTGAATATGTTGAATGTTCAAATTGTTTGTTCCGCAAATCAACGAGGATTTACTGTAAAATGCTAATTCCAAGTAGCAGCCCCCTCCGTGTGGGGCAGATTTGATTTGTGACACTGAAATGAAAGTTTTAACCTTTTCAACTATTTTAACTGAAGGGAACAAAATGTCTCCGCTGAAACTTAAAGTGATAGTTCAGACCTTTTAATGTGGGGTTCTGTGAAAAGGTTATAAATAAATATTAAATTGCCTCTTGTAGATCTTTAAATGGCTGTAGTTTGAAAACTGATCCTGTTGATGAGAATGGCTAGTCGGAACAAAACTTTCAGCTGTTCCCTCTTCAGGGTCTCCACAGCGAGTCCTCCCCCTCATTCACACATGGACTCGCTCTTACAACTGACTTTCATTTCTCCTCTTTCAAGTGCATACCTCCACCTCTCCAAGTTCTCTTCCACCTGTCCCCTGTTCTCACCACAGATCTCAATGTCATCTGCAAACATCATAATCCACGGTGATTCCCTACTGAGCACAAGACAAAACCATCAAATTGTGTTTTTTTTTTTAACTAATAAATGAGACGATTTCTAATTAAATGTAAACATTGTAAGTAAAAGAGCAACACTCGTTTTTTTCAGAATTGGGGTTTTCTATTCCAGCTGGAAGTGCGTCAAGCTGCGCCGGAAGTGCTACAGCTAGCTGCCGTTTAACTAATGCAAAGTCGACAGCTGTGTAAAAGTTTTTAAAAGGCGTGCGCATAAACTGCCATGAAATCTTTGGAGCACAACTGAAATCTGTTTTCAGACCAGCCGTCAGCTTGTCAGTCGCGTCAGAAATAAACCCTCTTCAAACGGGTCGTCCGAAGAGTTATCTACGACAGGTAAGATATTAATAGTTCATAACCTGTCCACAGAACCCTACTTTAAAAGATTTAAATTATCCTTTAATGCATTCTGCTACACCAACCTTTCTATCTGCCAAAAGCTTTATTTTACACAATTACTGAAGTTTTTTTTTTTAATTATTCATTTATATATTCATTTAAAAGAAACAAAATTAAATTAGTTGGCCCCATAATTGGAAAGATTCTGAGTTACCTGAACACTAAAGGCCACTTAACTTAACATCCCCCTCCACACATCAGATGTTTCCACAGCCTCCCTGAGGAGAATCCACTGAACAGTCAATATTTCTTTAATTAAAAAAAAAAGACTGGTTTCTTCGTGTTGGAATAAAGTAATCTGAGTAAATACTGCCACTTGAGTTCATGGATTCTCCGCCGTGGCTGGAAGACAAAGCTACAGGTCGTAACCTTGTCCTCCTCATTCAGAGCAGTTGTTTTGTGACAAATTATATAAATGATGTAAAAAGACTATCGGCCAAGCTCTGCTGCAGATCTCTGGAGTGTACTGTGTGCCTAATTACCTCAGTATATTCATCTCCAAATATTTCTGCTCGTTTTCTTTCCCCCGTAAACCCTCGAGCATGATTCAGGCTGCTTGTGGACACATCGTGCACAGCTCGTTAGAAAACTGCATGACACAGGTGGCAGTCGCCTGGAATGATGACGTCATACCTCAACTTGTTTTTGAGCATGTTTTTCTCCACGACTCGTTCTGTTAAATTACATTTTGATACAGAAGTTCTGCGAGGAGGCAGCACTTTGTGAGAGGGATGATCTCTGAGTATATATTTACAATAAACCCAAACTTTGACAAGCACGTCTGTTCTTGTTTTTGTGGAAACACGAGAAAACGCGTGGTTGCTGTAAACTCCATCTTTTTATTAGTCCAGGTAAAGAGAAAGTTTCTACTTGTGACTCGTTTTACAGGATGGAAGTTGTGCACACGGCCATGAAGCGCAGGGTGTGACCCCCGAATGGATGCAGAATGTGTCTAAATAATTATTATTGTCTGAACGTTTATCTTTAGATTTGTTTACAATCTTTTACTGCGACTTTCACATTTTGTTCAGCTTCTTTGTGCAGTGAATAAAAATTCAGCTACTTCAGCTGTTTGTCGCTCCTTTCAGATTTATTCTGCTAATTTTAACATTGTTTTGCTTTTTCTAACTTTAAGCTCATTTCGGCTTGTTCTGCACCTTTCAGATTATTTCTGCTATTTTCAGCTTTTCTGCTATTTCAGCTACTATTTAGCTGCTTCTTTTTTGTTGTTGTTATTTTCAGCTTTTGCAGCTAATTCTACATTTTTTTTTAATCTCATTTAAACTTTTTTTCAGCCAAATTCAGCATAAATGGGTTTTCTTCACTTGCTTCTGGTAATTTAAGCTTTTTGTTTCCCTGCTTTTTTAGCTACTATTCAGCTGTTTTGGGCAAATTTCTGCTTTTTTCAAATTATTTCCACTTTATTGTGTTCTGCTTCTTTCAGTCTTAGTGGGCACAGTTGTGCTCACTCCACTTCCTTTTGGTAATTTAGACTTCTTTCTGTATTTTTTAGCTACTATTCAGCAGTTTTTAGAAAATTAAAACTTTTTTTTTTCCAGATGATTTCCACATTTTGTGCTCACTTCTGCTTCTTTAAGTTTAATTAGGCAAAATTGTGCTCTCTCTCCACTTGCTTCTGCTAATTTAAAGTTCATTCAGCTTTTTTTTTAGCTAATATTTAGCTGTTTTTTTTTATTCCAGCTTTTTACAATTGTGTCAATTTCTGCTTCTTTCAGTTTTTTGGGGCACAATTGTACTCGCTCCACTTTCTTCCAGTAATTTCATTTTCTTTCTGCCGTTTCAGCTACTTTTCAGCTATTTCTTGCTAATTTCAGCTTATTTTTATTATTTACTACTTTTTGTGCTCATTTGCTTATTTAAACCTAACTCAGCAAATATGTGTTCTTTCTGCTTTCTTCTGCTAACTTAGGCTTGTTCTTCAATTTCAGCTAAATGTCGGCATGTTTTTAGCTAATTTCAGCTGTTTTTCAGCAAGTCCTTCAGCAATAAGCATTCACTGCATTTTCGCAGGAAATGCAATTTGTCTCGTTGAATTAAATAAAAAGTGAACAGAATCAGATTTCTTTAGCTTATGATGCATTCCAATAATATTTTGATGGGAGTTTTTGTATGTGTAAAATTTTAAAACCTCTATAAACGCACAAATCAGAGCAAGATTAGATCATAATTGCAGTTTTAAACATATTGTTCACCAAAATAACCGACGTACTGCAGTTTTTATTGCTCACATTCAGATAAAACAAACATTTGAGAATCGTGTTCAGTAATCCAGATAAAAATAAACATCATATAAATCATATCAGTATATGTGATATTTTTTGAGGCTCATACAAATAAACAACCACATGTGTAAAAGTCTTTGTCATGTTCTTATGAATTCATCCAATCCATCTTGACATCATGTCTTCACAATATTCCCACGTTTTCATTGTTTTGATCTTTAAAACACAGATTCAGGTCGTGTCAAACGTGACTTTATGCACTTAAAACTGCTTACAGTATAATCTTGAACTTTGGTTTGTAAATCCTGAATAAAGTATTTAATTTTCTATATGTCATTGTAAATTGCCTGTCTTGTTTAGAAATATTACAACAAAGATTTCTTAATGTGCATATAGTTTTTGTCATTTTTATGACTAAATGTTCACTAAACTCATTGAATTAGTGTCGTTTTTATGCTTATTTTTCAATTTTCTGAATCGTTTAACAGCTTGGCATCTTTTAGTTTAAAAACAGGACTCTGGTTTCAAAGACACAGAAAAAAACAAATTAATTGCAGTTACAAAACCAGCTTTGAGCACTGACAAATACAAAAATCAAGACGTGATAAAACGACGACTCCGGACACAGACTCCAGTAAAAAGTGATGGGAAAACTGGAGTTTTAATAAAAGTGAGGACGCTCAGCTTTAAGCACAAAGAGAGGAGGAGAATAAATTAAAGCAGACAGAAGAAACAAACTCTAAGGACCTCTAGTGGGTGGATAGAGGTAAAGAAAATAGGTTTAATAATTTCCTAAATAAATAACCAGATGGTTCATCTCATAAAATAAAACAAACCTGCTGCAATTTTACACATAAAAATCTACTAAGAACAACCTCAAAACACTTAAACATCCATTTTCATTTCTCCGGTCCAGGTCAAGGGTCGCTGTGCGAGAGGCGAGGGACACCTGGACATGTCTCCAGTCCATCACAAGGACACATAGAGACAAACAACCATTCACACTTTTACCTAGGGACATCAAAGAGTTAGCAATAAACGCTAAACTGCACGATTATGGTCTGATGGAGAAAACCTACGTGCACGGCCAAATGTGCCAATATGCCATTAACTTGTCATGCAGAACGACTCTGACTGTAGGGGGTTACAGTTAGTTCTTTCTGTTTCGGTGCCTGAAAACCTGAAACTCTAATGAATTCATAAATTAAATAAGAGAAAAATACAGAAAATTCTAAACATTTCTAAAGTTAAATGGACGACAAAAGTTGTTTTAACTCGTCTTTCAAAGTACAAAATGATCAGTGACACAGATGCCAAACATAACCCAGATGGATCTGACGGATCTTGTGGAGAGAATCTGTCCACAGGCCCATCAAGCTGCACGCAGCGAGGAGTTCAGCTTCATGGACAAGTGGCGATAGTCCATCCCCACAGAAAAGCATGGCGGTGGCAGCATCATGCTGTGGGGATGTTTTCAGCAAGGACAAGAAAACAGGTCAGAGTTGGAGGAAAGAGGGATCAGCAATGCTGAATATACATACAGTAGGAATACTTAATGGTATTGTAGACCATTGCATTAGGTAATACATTCAGCAAGTACTTTTACTTTTAATACTTGTTTGAGTACTTTCTCCACCACTGATTCAGCATACAGACATTGCACCTTCAAACTGGACGACCACCAGTCCAAACAAAAACATGCATGTTAGACTGACTGGTAACTCTAACTTGTCCCTATAGGTGAGAGAGAGAATGGTTGTTTGTCTCTGTGTGTCCCCGCGATGGACTGGAGACCTGTCCAGGGTGTCCCCTGCCTCTCGCACAGTGATGGTTGGACATGGGCACCAGTGACTCCCGCGACAAGAAAAGGAAGACGCAGGTAAAGATGATGGATGGATTCTGCACCTGTGCTGTGGAAACTAAAAGATACAACCCCCCCAGTCTGAATCCTGGTGCAACAAAACACAGAGTACTTCTATGATAATAATTCTATGACATTCTATGTGTTGCGTTTCTTGAAAACATTTGGATTCTTAAACTGGTCATGTGTTAAAAATTCAATAAAAAAAAAATTTATTAATCCCAAAGGGAAATTAATTGTTGATGTAGCTCATCTGGTTTCATGGAGTTGCTATAGATGCTGATGCTGTGGGCACGAAGGATCTCTTATAGCAGTCCGTCCCACATCCGAAGAAATTGGCTGCAGATGCCGATCCATCCACCCAGACCCAGCAGACCTCTCGACCCAGACCCAGCAGACCTCTCGGTCCTCTTGAACAGCAGGACCGCCTGAATGTCGGGCAGAACTCCTCCCCGAGCCTGCCGTGCCCCTCGTCAGCTGACTTAACTGCAGATGCCGGTCCTGCTGTCACGAGCCGCGTTTCCTGCTACCTTCAAGATCTCGGCGGTAAAGCACTCGAGCACCGCCTTCAAGTAGACGGAGATGCATCCACGACACCTCTTTTTCAACTCATTTTGGTATTTGGGTTTGTAGTTGAGATCTTATTTGAGATGTTAATCAGCCGCTCCCAGTTGTAAAAACAAAACCTTGTTGTCATGGTTACGCATCGTAACTAATGTCCAAAAGTAAAGAAGGTTTCAGTAAAAATCCTTCCAGCGGCACATCATCCGATACCAGAGGAAGTAATTAGCTGAAAAATGTGATTTACATCCAGAAAAAAACAGGAATTAAAGTTTTGAAAAGCCAAATCTCAGAACAAACGTAAGCGAGCTGCTCCAACATGCAGCCGCCTCGAGCGGCGCAGTTCTAGAGTGACGTGGGAAACATCAAATCAGTTGCACCTAAATGCTTTGGGTGGTTCATGCTCCACCTGCTCATTGCACACAGGTGACACAGAACTGATTTGACTTTACGTCCCTCAAGCGTCCGTCATTTCCTTCTGTTTTTCATCATGAACAGGGTTATGTGACAGAAGGACCAAAAGAGAGCAAGCGAACGTCATAAGACGAGCAAAGAGAACAAGTTGAATCGAGATCGTTTTGTATCTTGATTTCTATCTGGGCTCGTTTTTCATTTGATGCTGAACAGAAGCCGCTGTTCTCTCCGTTAACAATGTTTCACTCAATGAGTTCCACAAAGGACGGAGTCACAGCAGACACACGAGGCTCGTGTCACATGCGTCCAGCTGATGGTCGTTAGCGCACGATGTGGCCTTAAATGAGCCAAGTGTTTTTTCTGCATATGTAAATATAGAAGGTGCCTCATCAGCAGGATTTAAAGGGCGGGTTAGGTTATTTTACAGCAGGGATCTGTGGGAAGGTTATGACATCTGTTGTTTGAACATGTTAATTTTCAGAGATTAATCGATACAAAAAAAATCAAAGTGTGAGCCAAGAGCAAACTGGACTGTTGCTGTCTTAAAACAAACCCAGTTTAAAAAATGTGTTTTTGTTCTAATAAACACTATTTAACCATCCTCATGCTCAATAATCCAAGTGAAGAAAAAAAAATCTGAGCAGGAAAATCCAACAACTGGAGGTGGTTGAGACAGTGATTGCTGATTGAGAACAGGTGAGAGTGGCAGGCTGCGTAAAAAACAAAGATATGCAGAAGCTGAGGACGAATGAGAAATGGATGAGGGAACACATGAAAGCTCAACAGGAAAAGCTGCAAATAACGGAAACACAAGAATACAAACAAACAAACAAACAAACACAAAACACTCTGTGTGTGTGTGTCTCAGTACAAATGATTAAAAATAAGATAAAACTACAGGAATTACATTAACTGCAAAAATACAATGTGAATGCTTATTGCTGCTGAAAAACAGTCAAAATTAACTAATAAACATGTTGATGTGAAATAAGAATAAATTAGCAGAAGAAAGCAGAAAAAAAACAAACACGTATTCTCTGAAAAGAAGCAGAAATGAGCACAAAAAGTGAAAATTATCTGAAAAATGCTGAAATAAGCAACAAAATAAAAAATAAAAGCAGCTGAACAGTAGCTAAAATAACAGAAAGAAGCTACAGTCCTCAAAGAGTGGGGTGCGTCTCCCTTGGGGGGGACCAGGGTGATACCAGGGGGGCGCGTGCGACCGCGGGGAACATTTTAGGGTGTAGTTTTGTTTTTTACACCATTCTCATTTTGTCGGTACGTCTGGCAACGCTCAGGCTCACTAATAATAAAGTTATGAACAAAATATGTCTGCCTTGTCTTTTGTAAGTGAAAAGAACATTTTTCCTGAATTAGGCTGAAAAAGTTTAAAGGAGTGCAAAAAAATTAGAATTAGTTAAAAAAAAGTGTATAAAAAGAGGTAAATAGTAGCTGAAATAGAAGCAATATCTGCAGAAATTAGCTGAGGAGCACAACAAGCTGAAATTAGTAGAAAGAAGTTAGAAGCACAGAAATGTAGCGAGCAGAAAGAACCTAAAAGAAGCACAAAACAGCTGAAAGTAGCTGATTTGTTTTACAAGGAGCAGTAAAAGGTTGTGAACTGATTTAAAGATGTGAAGGATGTAAAATGAGCTCAGTTCATTTTCTATAAGAAAAAAAAAAAAGACAGAAAAAGCTAAATATTTCAAAAAGCTAAAGTTGCACCAATATCAAAAGTCATAGCAGGATTGTCCTGAACGAGCTGAAGGTTTTCATTTATGATTTGTTGAAATAGCTGAAAACTGTGGGACGAGGATGCTCAGTAACTATAAGAAAAATAAAGCAGGGTCACAATAGTGTGAATGCTTAATAAAGGTTGCAGCACTTTATACAATTTGCATAAATGCACAGTAAAATAACCTAAATGCATAAATTTAACTGTTCCCGCTACAATAAACTGTGGCCCCCTGCTGGAGCCTCGAGCTCCACCTTTGACCCCCTGACAAACATTTGCCTCTGTCAAACTGATACTTTGCAAACGAAATGAAAAGTGGAGCACAATTTGTTAAAACACATTAAACTGGTCATTTCCACATTAAATGTGTTTTTTTTTTTTCACCATGAACTCTGGGATACAATCTAAAAATAAATAAATGGGAAAGGAGAAACTGGTCCCTTCAGTCCACGCGTGGGTTTCCAGCTGTGCCCACAGACCCGCCCCTGGTTCATCGGATCCTCCGGGCCGGACTGACCGGGCCGCGGTCCAATCAGAGCCGCCCTGAGAGTGACTCACCCCGGCCTGCTGCCCAATGGCGGCGCGGAGGGAAGGCGGGCCACAGGAAGCACACTTGGTTGAATGCTCATTAAAGCAGTAATCATCGGTAAATATGTTGTGATGCCACGCTCCCGACGCGCGCACCCACACGCGCACGCACACAAACGGAGCGAGCTGTCCAGGGATGCGCGCTGCGCCACGGGATCGGACACTTTCCAACATTTCTCCGCGGGCAGACCCAGGAGCCTCTCCATCTGGCCCTGAGCAGATGATGGACAGCTGCTGGCCGCTCAGTCCGCGCGCAGGTACACGTCTCGCGCTGTGGCGCATGCTGCGACCAACAGGCTGAATTATCTTGAGCCCGAGGATGAGGAGGATGCGGGTCGTGATGATGCCTTGTTTTGAGTGTGGCTCCCACTACCGAGAGCTGAGATGCTCGTGGGGGAGTACAGGTGCATGAAGACCCGACTGGACCGAACCAGAACCTCCAGGAGCTCTTTGCATCCGTCAGGAGAAGCAGGGGAGCTCGCCTTTAACAGGCTCTAATTGATTGTGCTGCGCTATGATCTCCGGGGACCATCTGATGACTCGTGGGATGCATTTCTTCCATGTACACGCGCGCGCTGCCGTGCACTATCTCCACGGCTAATTGGGCCCGATGATGTAGAGGCGAATCCACCTGGATCAGGTGTTCCTGCCTCTCGTGGCCCAACTGCCCCCCCTGTGACGCGTCCATTGATTTGACACCCTCTCTGTTAGAAAAGCAGCTGGACCGTGGGGCGTTCAGGTTCAATGGGGGGACCATGGGGCGTTCAGGTGGATATTTAACTTTGTGACTGAACAGACTCCTGCCTCTTTATTTGGTCCCTCCACGATCATGTCCAGGTCGAACAGCGTCAGCCCTCCCGGTGTCGGTGCGCCGGGGCTGAGGGGAGGGCCCGAGCACAGATCAGCCTGGGGGGAGTCCGACTCTGTGGCCAACGGGTGCCCATACTCTGCCAGGTCTCCGCGCAGGAAGCTCACCCGGACCAACAGCCGGTGGAGGGAGGAGGATGACCCGGACCGCCGGCCGCGACCACCCGACCGGGCCTCCACGACCGTCAGCAGGGTCAGCTTCCGGTCCCGCTCGGCTTGGCAGGACCATGGCGAGGAGAACCGAGACCACGACCGCGCGTCCATCAAGCGTCCAGAGGACGAGGTGAGGCCCAAGTCCGTGGAGCTGGGTCTGGAGGAGCGCAGAGGCAAGAGGAGCGACGAGGAGGAGGCGGTCACCATGCCGGAGGTGAACGTCTCCCTGGCGGCGTGCTGCGTCAGCGTCGTGCACGTCTTCAGGTCCAAGAAGTTCCAGTCGGAGAAGTTGGAGCGGCTCTACCAGCGCTACTTCTTCCGCCTCAACCAGAGCAGCCTGACCATGCTGATGGCCGTGCTCGTGCTCGTGTTCACGGTCATGCTGGCCTTCCACTGCTCCGGCGGCGCAGCGGGACCGAGCGTCACGTTCGTGGTGGTGTTTTCCGTGGCCATCTTCTTCACGCTCACCCTCATCGTGGTGTGCAACAGGAGCGGCTTCCACCAGGACCACATGTGGGTCGTGTGCTACGTGGTCATCCTGCTGGTCCTGGTGGTCCAGGTCATCGGGGTGCTGCTCGTGCAGCCCAGGAGCGCCTCGGAGGGGATCTGGTGGACCGTGTTCTTCATCCACGTCATCTACACCCTGCTGCCCGTCAGGATGCGCGCGGCGGTCATCACTGGGCTCGTGCTGTCCGCCGTGCACGTGGCCATTTCTTGGATGATAAACGGGATGGACAGCTTTCTGTGGAAACAGGTAAGACCGGGCTTTATTTGTGAAAGTGCGATTTTACGCAGTCGTGCGCAAATACGCACGGTGCCATCCTGCGCCTCCCGCTGCGCTCACCTGAAGCTCCAGAACAAGAATAACGACACAGAACGTGTTTTAGGAGGTGCAAGAATGAGATTAAAGGTAAACTTAGAGAAGTTAAAGTGGATGTCTGGAGTTTGGTCCAGGTCTGAAGAAGTTTGGAAAAACATTTGTTTTCTAAAAAAAAATAAAAAAATCTTTAAAATAAAGTGTTTTTCCATATTAACCGTGTAAAAGGCAGACAATACCAGCACAGTCAGTATTTTAATTATGCTGTACTATAAACTATTACAAGTAAAAATTTCTCCAACAAAACTGGGTCAAACTTTCTGAAGGAAGATCTCACATTCTTTTGAAGTTTGAAGAACATGTTCCTACAAAATGCATTGAAAAAATCCTTACATCTAACATTTTACACATAAAAACTGAGGATAAAGGTTAATTAATTATTAGCTCTCATTTGTAATAATTGCAGTTCAATAACAAACACTGTTTTTTCAAAGTTCTTGTGTGATATTCTCATAATTTTAGTCTTAGTTTGTCACTTTAAGTGATGCTCAGTGTTTGTGTCTGAACTTTAACTAATTAAACTACATTTTTATTCAACATTTTTGATGACGTAGGCCTGATTGATAGAAATACACACTCAATAATAAACATAAGGAACAAACTGCACTTTGGAGCTAAACCATTAACTTTCAATTAAAGCAACATACATGGTTTATGAAACGGTGGCAGTCGTAAAGTGAAGCATGAAGCTTTAAACTGGAGCCTGATTTCCCAAATGAGTTTTATTTTGTAGTAGGAAAGACTTAAAGTCTGGTTTAATGTTGTGTTTATCACAATACAAACATTGTCAGTAAATTTACAGATGTTTTTTTATAAAAAAAAACGACTGATAAAAGTCACAATTAATCTGAAAACAGTGTGGAGGTCATCGTTTGTCCTTGAACGTAATAAAAGTGAGCTTCTCTGTGCCATGAACAGCTCAGATAAGAGCACTAATCTATAAATTAGTTCCTGGAAAGCGCGTGACGAGTGTCGCTGCCCGTGTTTCTTCCACTCTGTTATTAGAAACGGTTCCACGCAGGTCAGCTCAGTGGGTGCGTTCTGCTCCAGGCACTGGGGCTAACTGAAAAGGCAAATGGTCAGAACCAGAACCTGCTGGGAACCAAGAGGGTCTCATCGACTTCTGAGGAATTTTTGAATGAAGAGCGCTGGTGTTGGAGGATAATTTTAATACAGGAAATTAGCACATTTGTTTACAACTTGATTATGGATAAAAATATATATGATCCCGATTCCCAAGAAGATGGGGTGTTGTAAAATGTTATTAAAAAAAGAACGCAATGATTTACAAATCAACACCTATTTTATTCACAATGAAACAAATCAAATACTGAAACAGAAACGGTGCCATTATTTTGAAAAAAAAAAAAAAAAAAAAAAAAGGTAATTTTGAATTTAATGGCAGCGACACAGAAAGTTCAGTTCACTTGAGTTTATTTCTTCAGCACTGAGTCTCAACAGACGTCTCAGGGCACTGAAAGAAACATTCACATTCTGGTACATAAAAAAGCCAATTAGTAAAAGTTCTCTATCTAAGGAAGCAGTAGTTTGTGTTAAATCTTCACTTCGTCGCCGTCTCCATCCTGAGCAAGAACAAAGGAGACAGTGGAAAGAAAAAACTCATTTTAACAGGAAGAAACCTGCAACAGAACCAGGCTCAGGACGAGCGGCCATCTGCTTCAGCCGGCTGGTTTGAGAGGACAGGAAGTGGAAACAGACACAGAATGACAGGTCCAGGTGCAGTTCCTATAGTCCAGGTGAACTTTCTATAGGAAGAAAGACAAAAATTCATGTTGAGATAGAAATAATTACAAATACAAACAGGTAGAGCAAGTAAAGACAGCAGCAGAGAGAGGAGATGAGGTCAGTTTGTCCTCCAGCAGCCTAAAGCAGTAGAACTAAGGGATAGCTCAGGAAACCCAAGCCATCCTTAACTATAGGACAGTGGACAATGTGTCAGCCTCACGGACAAAAACTGGAAGTTGTTTCCACAAGAGAGGAGCCTGACAACTGAAAGATCTTCCTCCCATCCTGCTCTAGGAACCACAAGTAAACCTGCAGTCTGAGAGCGAAGTTCTCTGTTAGGAAAATATGGCACAATGAGATCTGTAATATAAAATGGAGCCAGGTTGTTGAGAGCTGTAAAAGTAAACGGTATAAAAAAGGAACAGTAAAAGGAATAAAAAAAAAAACAAAAAAATGGAGCTAGAACCCGTGAGAAGTAAAGATGGGCAGAGGTTCACCAGTCTGGGAAAATCATTGTGTTCAGTTTTCACTTTACACCTTTTTTTTAGATTTTGGTCATTTAATTAGACCGACTTCCTGTCCTGAATATATAATTTGTGTTACATTTAGTTTGAAACAGTTACAAGATGTTAAATTAATTCAGTCGTTTGCAAAGTAATCTGACCCAACCCTCTTTACTATGAGATCTATCTGCTGGTTGCTATGGGAACTGCAGCTGGTTACCTGAGGAGATGACAGCTGTTTACTTGGCACAGGTGGAATTACACCAACAGACTTTTTTCCTTGTGCAGCTGGAGCGAACTGTTTTCATTACCGTGCAAAAGATGGCGGATGGGCGGGAGGTCCTGTCATAAGACTGGATCACGGCTTTATTCCTGCAAAGAATCTTAAGAACACAGCGAGATGCAGAGGATGGTGATTAGAGTTTGTTTTATTGTCGTTTTGGCTGAACGTCTTATTTTTTCGAGCCGCAGCTCAGAAATGCAGCTGCTCTCTGAAATGTGTCCAGCGGGGTTGGATGATATTTTACATCCAGTCCTTGCATTTCTCGTGTCGTGTTGGTTTTCACTTTGCACCACGAGTTGAGCGAGCGCTACTTTTAAACCAGGAGCGTCATTTATTAAAACTTTTTATGCCCAAAAAGTGAAAACTGCTGGTCCAAACAACTGCTCCTCGCTGGATGTTCGTCAGTAAAGAGAAGTAAACTGGACAGAAAAAAAAAACTGGACAAACAGAAACATGTCGGATCCTGATCCAAAGCTGTTTTATCAAAATGTGCTCACCGCTTTGGAAAGCAATAATTGTGTTAGCTTTTCTTCATCTGGACTCTTAATGAGCTTGATGGATCCAGGGGAGACATTTTACTGGGCTGCTGAGCCTCTGTGCACCTCAGAACCTCCAAATGCCTCTGGTAGAGTTTTTGTGACGTCCAGTTTGCTTTGAAAGCATTTTCTCAAGGCCGGTGGACTTTTATTTTTTGTTAAACTGCTCGCACAAATCGGTTGAATTTTCCGTAATTATTTAAAGGTACTCTTAATTTAAAAGTCCACTGAGTTCTTCGGCTCGTTGTTATTCTCCTCAAACGGGCTCTCTCTCGTGTGTTTATGTAACTTTTAAATCCGCCACGCTCGTAACAATGTTTTTGGGCTCCGATCCAGTTCAGGGTTTTATTTGGCTCAGTGCAGCCCATAAACCTTTACTTTACCAGCACTTATTAGCACAGTTATTTTTTAAAGACGCCAGAATGAACATGAGTAAAGATTTATTTTAATATCCTTCTGACTCCAGACCTCCCAGAGGAATATGGAGGAATCTAATAAGTCCCAAAGTCTCTCTATCCCAGTTTTTAAAGACTTACACAAAAAATAGATGTTTTGCTACTTTTCAGGTCGTTATTGCTTTTCTGTTGAAGGACAATAACATTTAGCCTTTGTGTGTTTGTCTGTAGTGTTAGTAAAATATGTCAGGACACATTGTATGGATTTTAATAAAACTCTGGAAGGAAGGAAGCGAAGAAGGAAGGAAGAAATGGATTAAGCAAAGAAGGAAGGAAAAAATGAATTAAGCAAGGAAGGAAGGAAAAAGGAATTAAGCAAGGAAGGAAG